TCAAGTTTTAGCCTACAAGGAATTTATCTTATAGTTGAGAGGCACAAAGTGGCCATTTGAAATCCAAAGTTAGTAGGGCCAGGATAAGTGAGATGGGTCATCCAGTTTGTCTTTTAATTACAGATTGTGCAGAGCAACCCAAAAGCTCATTCCCACTAACCTAGCCTTAGAGCTTCTACTTGAGTCTAACAAAAATTGAAGCTAAATAAATTTACAGCTGTGTGTCTGTGAGTGGTGGCTGAGCAAACTGGATACAATTAACTTAGGCTTGAATAAAGACTGGGAGTGGGTGGGTCACTACACAAAGTAAAACTATTTCCCCATGTTTATTCCCTCCCCCACCCCCCACTGTTCCTCACACGTTCTTGTGAACTGCTGGAAATGGCCCACCTTGATTATCACTACAAAAGGTTCTAACCCCCCCACCCCTGCTGGTAATAGCTCACCTTACCTGATCACTCTTGTTACAGTCTGTATGGTAACACCCATTGTTTCATGTTTTCTGTGTAAATAAAATCTCCCCACTGTATTTTCCACTGCATGCATCCAATGAAGTGAGCTGTAGCTCACGAAAGCTCATGCTCAAATAAATTGGTTAGTCTCTGAGGCGCCACAAGTACTCCTTTTCTTTTTGCGAATACAGACTAACACGGCTGCTATTCTGAAACCTGCTAATTAAACAGTGGTCACTCATACTGACCAATGTATATTCATAGATTCCAAGGTCCAAAGGGATCATTGTGATCATCTAGTCTGACCTCCTGTTTAACACAGGCCATAGAAATTGCCCCATATCATTCCTCGAGTCTGTGTAGAAGACACCAAGCATGTTTCATATGTATTACTCGAATTTTAAATGCCATGTCAGCGACAGTTGCAAGTCTTTGCACGTACACCTTACCTCTGTGCACTAACTCATTCCATGTAGACTTTCTGACTCACTAGACCTGAATCAAAAGGTATGTGCAGTATGTGGCAACAAAGGCACTGGACTCACATATAAGATGAGCCTGTAAATTGGTGTTGTGTTATACAGAAGCCTCTCTTTCACAATCATCATCTGACTAACCACAATCGTCATAAAAGTTCTTAAGGTGTGTTCATCATTTCCCTTCTTTCACGTACAGACTTCTTGCCTAAAGACAGAAAATAAAAAACAGCCCCAGAGTAGCAATGGAAGAGACACCCTGTATCAGTTCTGTGTTTAAATAGGGTCTAATATTATTTCATTTCATAACAATGTTATTTCAAAACAGTAAGTCAACCAGGCTGGTTGTGTTATTCATCTAATATTTGTTTCATAAAAAGTACTACTGGGTATTAATTCAACATTCAAGTTGATAAATCATGCTCTGAATTTTTAGCAAATGCCCAAGTGTGGTTGAAATTTCCTCCTAATTTAGGAGACCTGGATTCTACTCACAAGTCTTCTATGTGAGTCCATGTGGACAACTCTCCACCTCTCTTCCTCATCTAATAATGGGGATAACAATAATGCCAACACATTTGTGTTAAGTTCTCTTAACTCTATGGATGTAAATGTAAAAATACTAATATACCTAGGTATTTACCCAATAATTCATTCTCTCTCACCTGAACACCTTGCATTGTGCTATTGTGCTTCTATCAAGTATCTCCATGTGCTTTATAAGCATTATTCAGTTAAACATCATGATACCTTTGGCAGGAACGTACCGTTATCCCCACTTTCAGATGGAGAAAATAAAGTACAGAGAGGGGAAATGACTTGTTTAGGTTACCTAACAAGTGGCAGGTCAGGGGTCAGAAGCCAGGAGCCCTGACTCCCAGTTCTCTGCTCTAACCACACTAACACACAGCTTTACATATAAAGTAAACCTTTTTAATTTCAGAGCATGGGGTAATTAAATTTAAAATCAACCTTTTTTTAGAACAAGTCTGTGAGCCAGTAACTTTTTGACTATCCTGATCATTCTTCTCAACTGTTCCTGAATATAGATACAAGTTCACCTCCACTTGATGCAGACACACTTTGTTACACATAGTGTGGAGCAGAAATGCATGTTCATGAAACTCAGGTAACTGATAAGCATATGCAGGTTTAGATTAGGTAACTAATCCCACATGGTAACATGTAACTAAATCCCATGTGCTTTAATTTTTTTTTTCTTGTGCTGCCCTTCGTTTTGGACCTTGGCAAAATGAGATGTCTGCTCCCAATTACTCCATTTCAGCTCTCGGTTAGGTTTCAATCAAAAAAGCACAGTCTCATGTGAATGGTTGACCTCTCTGTCACCTGACAGCAACTGGAAGAATCACTAACAGTAAGTGTTACTGAACTTCAGAGATTTCCAATATTTTCCTTACCTCCAGGCTACATGTGGAATGAGAACAGCTGGCAATCACACCCCAGGTTTCAAGTTGGCTTTCCTTCAGACAATGTGAAGTGTGTACCCGCCCCAGCTAAGGCCTGTGTGCTGCAACCTATCTTAAGTGGCAAGTATTTCAGCCATGTGTAATTCAGGAATGTGATCATGTTTAAACAGCCAACCACAGGTTTATGGCAACAGCAAAACCTTTTTCCTCAAGGTAAATATAATTTCTTACAGAACAAACAACTTTTTTGTAGATTGGTTATATTTTTAGTAAAGTTTATCTATATTTTTCTGACATGTGTGTGAATTTAGAGCTGCTGAGCTGTGTCAATCTGACAGGCACAGAAAGCCATGTCTACTGTCCATCCACAGAAGAAATACAGGCATCTGCAGGGCAAGTTCTTCCCCCCAGTGTGCCTCAAAAACCCATTCTGGAGGAACACCTTTAGGAGTGAAAAGATAATTAGGTTGCCATGGGCTATTCAGTGACTGACCTCTCTGCTTAGAAGTGGCTAATGCGATACATGGTGATCTCACTTGACACAGGCACCCATTCACTGAAAATTAGATTAAGAATGCCCCTCCCCACCAAATTCATTTCAGACAGGCCTCTGTAGCAATCTATTCAGTCACTATTAACCCATCCTGGACTATAACCACTTACCACAAGGTAATAGGCTCTAGATAATAATACTTTTTTTTCCCTCGGTCATTTAATCCCTTCCCCCTCTCCATCTTCTGTATACTCAGTTTTATTAGGTTTCAGAGTAACAGCCGTGTTAGTCTGTATTCGCAAAAAGAAAAGGAGTACTTGTGGCACCTTAGAGACTAACCAATTTATTTGAGCATGAGCTTTCGTGAGCTACAGCTCACTTCATCGGATGCAGTTTTATTAAAATCCGGAAACTGCAAGCTACTGGTAAAGTACCTAGAACAGGGGTGGGCAAAATTTTTGGCCTGAGGGCCACATCTGGGTATGGAAATTGTATGGCAGAACATGAATGCTCATGAAATTGGGGGTTGGGGTACCGGAGGGGGGGAGGGCTCCGGCTGGGGGTGTGGGTTCTGGCTTGGGGCTGGAGATGAAGGGTTGGGGGTGCAGGAGGGTGCTCTGGGCTGGGACTAAGGGGTTCAGAGGGCGAGAGGGGTTGGGGCGCAGGAGGGGGTCAGGGGTGCAGGTTCTAGGTGGTGCTTACCTCAAGCACCTCCCAGAAGCAGTGGCATGTCCTCACTCTGGCTCCTACACGGAGGCGCAGCCAGGCATGGCCAATGGGAGCTGTGGCGGCAGGGGCAGCATGCGGAGCCCCTTGGCTGCCCCTATGCGTAGGAGCTGGAGGGGGGACATACCACTGCTTCTGGAAGCCATGCAGAATGGGGCAAGGCCCTGACCCCACTTCCCAGCTGGAGCACCAGAATGGGGCAAGCCCTGGACCCCGCTCCCCGGCGGGAGGTCGAGAGCCGAATTAAAACATCTGGAGGGCCGGATGCGGCTCCCATGACGTAGTTTGCCCACCCCTGACCTAGAACAAAAGAACAGCCATACTGGGTCAGACCAGCAGTCCATCTAGCCCAGTATCCTGTCTTTCAGTAGTGGCCAATGCCAGGTGCTTCAGAAGGAATGAATGGAACAGGCAATCATCAAGTGATCCATCCCATCGTCCACTCCCAGTTCCTGGCAGACACCTGCAGACACTGAAAACAGACTTGTGGGGAAGCTGGTTTATTCCACACACTGACTACCTCCCACAAGTTCAGAATGAGTGAGCAGAATCTAGATCACAAAGGGCTTGTCTACACTGGCAATGCCTGAAGCGCTGCCGTGGCAGCTCTTTGACGTGGCTTGTGCAATCATGGCAGAGCTCTCCCAGCGCGCCAAAAAAACCCACCTCCACGAGGGGCGTAGCTCTCAGCCCTGGGGCACTATTTACACTGGCACTTTACAGCGCAGAAACTTGCTGCGCTCAGGGGAGTGTTTTTTCACACCCCTGAGCGAGAAAGTTGCAGCGCTGTAAAGTACCAGCTTAGACAAGCCCTAAGACTATCATAGAGGGTACCAGTAGGGGGCTCCTTCAGATCAACCAGGGGCCAAGTTTCAGAGTCATTATCGTTTCATTTTCAACTGGCGTATGAGCATGGTGTTTTCTTACCCGTGCTCCAGCAGCTGAAGCTACCTGAATCTTCAACCAAGAAGCCGAATGGGAAAAATGATCCTGCTTCAATTCCAAACAGTACCTGGAATTCATGCATTGGCACACAGTTCTTCCTAAGACCCAAGTTTAATTGAAAATGGTTATTATAAATGTAAGCACATATTAACTGAAGATTGAGCAGATAAATGCTCACACACCACCCGCAGGCCAGAAGGTATTGGGTTTTCAATAATGACCAGCTAATTACTGGTAGATAATGTGGTACAGCACATCTAATACACAGGCCTCTGAAATCACTTGGGTTGTTTTCTGCTTATCTTACATGAATATTTTATATAAAAGGAAGCTAGGAAACTAAAATCTTTATATCATTCCGTGCAAAAAAAAAGCAACCCCAAACAAAACACACCAAACAAAGCAATCAAAACTCAGAAAATTGATTCAAAGCTCGATCTCTTGTGGGTCAACATAATAAACTACACTGGCCACACAGTAAGATTATTAACAAGATGAAGTTGCCAAAGTTTATTTTCAGGGTAAAACCTCCAATCCAACAATGATAATTTTTGAGTAAAATTTAAAAAAAAAACAAACAGCTGTCAGCCCAAAATTTATTTGCTCAGTTAAAATGAGGCATTAGTGGTTTTACAACACACACGATTGAATTAGGCATATGGGTAAGGTCCATGGTGCCAAAAGAGAAGGAGAAGAGAAATTGCATAAAACACTCACAGAAGAAAAGAATGAAATAATTATTTTTTTCTTGGAAGATTTAAACAAAATATATTTACAAAAAATGACTAGAAAATGCATTTTACACCAAGCAGAATCCAGGCTCTGCCAAAAGTATCCCTGTTAGACACAAACAATACTTGAATGTTCCATAATATATTGTTTTTAATAAGACAGAAAATGTAGCAGTTCAATTTCAGAGAGATGCAGACAGCAAAGAAATATATCAGAAGGCTGACAATAAATAAGAGAAGCATAATGACAATGGATAAAATACAGTACACAATTTCACTAGATTGTTCTGAAGTTTATGTTGCTGGTCTGGTCCCTAAGGTCTATCTATATTTTCTGTCAAAATATGTGAATATGTGTGGATAGCTGAATATATGTGGATAGTTTAATACGTGTACTTCCCCCTCCCCTCCCCCCCAAATCTCTTCTTTCTCAGCGTGGTAGGGAGTTAAAATAGGGAGCTAATAGGGAGCTAAAACAGGGAGCTAATAGTCCTAGGGCATCACTGAAAGGTATTAAAGTACACAATTCTGTATACTATGCTCTAGATTTATGGGGAAAACCTTCATTTCTGTTTGACTAATCGTGATAGCATGTATCATGTTCTGCCGTTTTTTTTCTTTTTTTTTTCTTTTTAAAGTAAATCAGAATTTGCAGGCAGGCCCAGTTGCTCAGTGAATATAGCTGCCCACTTCCTTGACCCTTCATACAGCATCACAGATGCCAGGCTCAGTCTCTGAAGAGAAATACATTTTTCATTGCTCTTACATGCCCCCTAGTGATAACTAATTTGAGACAGAAGTTAACACAACCCTCTTGTCAACAGCCAAATTCTGTAAATAACGACCATGCAACAGAAGTGGGCTTAAATAAGGGGAAATGGAGGCCTGGAAGGAGGCAGGACTAAGTGGTGTAAGCATTTAGTAGTTTTATGCACATTTCATTTGTCTGAAAATAGGGCTGGGAATCTCACAAGCACAAAAGTTTGTCAGATTTCCAACACTTTCAGGTTTAGATTGTCAGATTACTGAACAAAGAAAAGGAGGACTTGTGGCACCTTAGAGACTAACAAATTTATTTGAGCATAAGCTTTCGTGAGCTACAGCTCACTTCACTGAATGCTGCAAGTCCTCCTTTTCTTTTTGCGGATACAGACTAAGACGGCTGCTATTCTGAAACCAGATTACTGTACAGTATTTCACTTCTCACCCAAACCAGAAAAGACAGAAATGAGAATTTCCTTCTTCTTCTTCCCCTCCCAAAAAAACCCCAACCAAACAAGTTTTAACTGAGTTCAAATTTTGGGTAAAGTTTTAGGTTATTTCTTATTTTGTCCAAATCAGTTCATCTGTTCCTGCTAAAAACTCCACTCAAAATTGCCCTAACTTTTGCCTCGGGGACTGATCCCTTGGTAAAAGTTTTTGGTTGAATTAGGACAAGAAAGAGTAAACTCATATTTCGATACCTGAGGCTCAGTAAAAATAAATAGAAATATACATTCTGTATAGCAAGGTGACAAGTCTGATTCTAATACACCACACAACACACTCTCCTATCAATTTTCATTTGTAGTCTATTACCAAACTAAGTCCTATAGTTACACACTAACAAAAGTGTCTCCTGTTTGTTACAACATGTATAGGCTATCCCTACCTGTAACACACATATGTATAGAAAATAAATACATGACAACACTAGACAGGAAGAAAATCCAACTTTGGATCTAGGCCCAGATCCAGTCTCTATTATGGGCCAAACCAAAATCCTGGATCCAAAACATCCTTTAGCTTTGCTACTCAGGCCCATCTCTAATATGTACACACTCTGACACATTAATAAAGTGCCTGAGGTGTGACATCCCAGGTGCCTATTGTCTGTGACTAACATTGCATCTGTCTTTATGAGTAACCCCTGAGTGACACAGCCACGAATGATTTAGGGCAGTTGTTCCCAAACTGTGGGCCATGGAACATTGGTGGGTCTGCAAGAGCTAGTTAATCCCATGGCACTAACTCTCCTTGTTTCCACTTGTGGACCCCCCTTCAGAAGAACCTAAAATATATACTTTCATAATATTTCTTTTCCTTATATGTAAATGCTGTCAATGCTTCAGGCATGTTAATAGGGAGGTGGTCTGCGCCATCAGGAAATGCCAGGAGAGAGGTGACCTATGTCTTAAACAAGTTAATAAACTTTGACTTAATAAGTCTCACCTCATGAAGACAGTGATAATAATATGTCTATCTATGTACAAGTGCATTGCTTTTGATGGTTTTGTTACACAGATTCTTATTCTTTAAAAACTGCATTTCATTGAAATATTATACCCCGCACAGCTGCCAGTAACATTCTATGCAACTTTTTATACATAGTTCTGAACAGAAGAATAAGTCAAACACAAAACACTATTCAGTCCCTTTGTGCCACTGCCTCTCCATTGTTTGCAATTAACATTCACAACCCAGTTCAGGGCATGAAGTGATTGAAATAATAAGGTAGTTAATGGAAGACTTATGCACAAACATGCACACACAGCCTTGTGGAGCTTCTTTTCTGCGCTCGGCTGCTCCCTGAGCACCCACACCATCGTCATGGTGGCAGCTTTCGCAGCAGTTCTCTTGTGATCATGCTGATGTTTTACCTTTTTACAAGTGAATGTTAGTGCTTTGTAAAGATGCAGGATTAGAAAAGATGCAGCCCTGTACTTGACAGCTATATATCCACTAAAACACATACACAACACGGGCAACGGAGGTGCAGGCTTCCCTCACACTGCCCCACCAGCATGCCTCAACCCACTTCCAGGGAGGCAGTCTCAGTGTTCAGCCAAGGGTTTACTGTCAGCTGTGATAGTGGGTTTTACCACATGAAGACCTATCCCCTGGAAACCACCCAATCCCTCCACACGGGGCCAAACATCAGCCAGATATTAGTGACATTTCTATCACCATGGATTCAAATAATTTTCCATTTAAAGTTTCTTTTTGCCATGCTACCATCCTTATGCCTACACTCTCAGTAGTGCTTCGTACCCTGTATGTCAACACAGAGCAGCCAATAGCACATAAATCCAAAAGTTTCTTGAATACATTAAAAACAAACAAACAGAACCTTTGGTTCCCACCATCCACTTTTCTATTTAAATAAATACATTAGGAGGGCTAATAACACAGATCCATTACTTTGAATACTCTATAAAAATATTACCTATCTAAACCTGATAATTCTCTTTTGAGGTAGTTACATACAGTACAACAGATTAGCAGATTAAGAACTAACACAAATACAAGGTTATACATATGCTTGTGTGCAGTGCTTAAATTCAGCCAGAGCTGTCCAGACCAGAGCTCTGGTAAGTATTTTGAAACCCCCTTGGAGTTTTTATAGCATGTGGGGAGGGGAATGGGAGTTGGGAAGAGGGGGTGGGGGAGGGGGGAGAAAGAGCCTCTGGGAAATACTCTGAGAATTTAAACGCTGCCTATATGTAATTCAGTCATTTAGTGATCATGCAAATATTTTCTTCATTCCTGTTTCATTTGCATTCACCCTGCATGAGTTTTGCTTTGAGTTCTGTGCTCAGACAATCTCTATATCTAAAAGCGGGCATAAGCCACAAAGTATAGACCCCAAAGTTTGCTCTGATTGTGGGGTTTTGACTTGATCTACAAGAGAATTTGGGCTAGCTGCAAAATTCAAATCTCTAAGTGAAACTCAGTTGAAGCCATCATTCTGCATATGACTTGGCATTAAACATAGGGCTGGTCAAAAGACATATTTTCTACAAAACATTTAAAGGAAACAAAATATTTATTTTGTTTGAACTATTTGTGCAATTGTTTTAGCTAAACAAAACCTTAAATTTGTGGATTTTGTTTAAAAAAATATTTACGCCATCTTCTCTCACTTTTTTTCCCACTAGAAAATGAGGAAAAAGACATGGTGATAGTGGGCGGCGGGGGAAGACACAAAAAGTCAACCTTTCAGTTTTTCATAAGAAAGGTTTAGCTGGAAAAAACATTTTGAACAGCACTAATTAAAACCATGCAACACAAACAGATAAATCATATTAAAGCTTGTTAAGAACTTGACCAAAGTTCCTATGTGGAAGGTTTGCAAACCTCTAGGTGAACCCAACTCTATGTGGTTTAGGGCATTAAGTATAGAGCCACCACCATGGGAGAAACAGCATGGAAAAAGCTGCAGCTACTATCCGACTGGGTGAGGGAGCCAGAGGTTGAGGGGATGGTCAGGTTGATAATTTTTTCCTAAACTGTTTGTAAAAACAATCACTTTTCTTATAAACAAAATAAACTTAAGTCTTAACACTCGGAAAGACTGTAAGAGTGCATCAGCTTCATGGGACAATCAAAGTGCTGAATTTATTTTGGACATCAGTGCTGCAAAAGAGTAACCTCCTCATGCTATGATGTAGCATAATTACACAATGTTTTGAACCGTAGATCAGAGGCTTGAGTCTTAAGCTTTCCAGACTACTGTACCTCTTTCAGGAGTCTGATTTGTCTTGCATACCCCCAAGTTACACCTCACTTAAAAACTACTTGCTTACAAAATCAGACATAAAAATACAAAAGTGTCACACAGCACACTGCTACTGAAGAATTGCTTGCTTTCTCATTTTTACCATATAATTATAAAATAAATCAATTGGGATATAAAGATTGTATTTACATTTCAGGGTATAGTATATAGAGCAGTATAAACAAATCATTGTCTGTATGAAATTTTAGTCTGTACTGACATTGATAGTGCTTTTTATGTAGCCAGTTGTAACAGTAGGCAAATATCTAGATGAGTTGATGTGGCCCCTGAAAGACCTCTGTGTACCCCTAGCGGTACATGTACCCCTGTTGAGAACCACTGCTGTAGATTAACATCCCTGACAATGCAACAATGTGAAGATACAAACTTTGCGATGTATCATCATAGAATCACCCAACCCTCCAGCTGTTTTATTTGTCTGGATTTGTCTTGAAAGCAGCACGTTTTTGTGCATAAGTAGAGTACTACTGTGGCCATAATGAAAGCTTTGCCCGTTGCTACTTAATGCCCAAACCTTAGGGTTTCTAGTCTACTGCAAATGGAAAGTAGTTACTCTTAACATGAAGTGTGCTAACAGAGCCCTCAATGTTCAGTTGAATTGTTCAAAGTTTTCATTACAGATTGAGCCAGTGAGCCAACACATTTCCCTGTTGCTCTAGAATCTAATCCTTCATTTTCAAATGTCTCTAGCCCTCATGGCTCAAAAGATAACCTTTACATTATGAGCTGAGTGCGAATTTATCCAGTGATGTCTGCCTGACTCAACAGAGAGCCTGAGATGTCTCCTCTCAAATCTGTTAACTTTCCCTAATTCATCAGTGGAGTGTCAATGCTGAAACATAATTTAAAAATAAATATTGTCAACATTTTGCTGCCGATCAAAACAAACAATTAAAAAAACATGTATGATCATGTAATGAGGATCAGCACAATTTGTGAGCGGCATCTTATTCTGCCATCACAAGTGGGTACAGCTTGAGAGAATTCGATCAGTTATTCCCACCCCTCCACTCCCTGCATCCCAATTTGCCTCGCAGAGGAAACTCAGGTTAGGAACTCAATGTCTCAAGTAAGCTACAAACCTCACAGTGACTTTAGGGTGCATTTTGAGCAAACTTGGGTAGGTTCAAGTTTTTGGGCACAAAATGATGTGAAAAACGACCAGATGCCAAACAAAAAATAGCAATTTTTGCAGCCCCCCCCCACCCCCCAATGAAGCCTAGGGAATGAAAAACCAAGTGAATTGAAATTGAGGTAGGAGGTAAGGTCCACACGAATGAAACCACCAAAGTTTTGACTAAACTTCATTTTACAGTTTGCTACACTGTGTCTCAAAGCTACATACAATGAACAAAGCCTGCTGTGTAACTAATGTGCACATAGCAGCCTTTTGTGCAGAGCTTCCTCCCACCCACAACCTTTCAAGAAAACTCAACAGATTTTTTCCCCTCAAACTTAAGTAAAGTGCATCTGCATCCTGCTCTAATGGAAGTCCCTTAAAATGAGAGAGAGACTGAAAACAAAATTTTGGAGTCAAAAGCCCCTGAGAGTTATAAGTTTAAATCCAATCTCCACAACTCGGGCTCATCTCTATTTAAACCACTGAACACAGTGTAAAAGCTTCCCTCTGAGGTAGCTTCCAGTACGGCATAAGAGATACAATAGCAACTGGTAGCTGAGACCAGCACAGCTCTGAGTTATGTAGCAAAGTGGAGGATCATTTTTGGCTGGTCTGGTAGAACTGCTCCCGAGGATCAACACCAATTCTTAGCCTGACACACAGGATGAACACCCACAGGGAGTCTAGTTGCCGGGGGAGACACCGCTGCCAGTTGGTTACATCTGATGTAGTGTCCGGCCTCCTACTGCCAGGCAGACAACAGCTTGCTGTACTGCAGCAGATGTGTGCATAACAGAGTCAGCGGCACTCGGACACTGCTTAGTGTTCAGGTCAGATCCATGCAGCAATGGATCCTGATGTGAATGATTTTCAGCACGTTTTCCTCAGAAACTAGGCTTTTGTTTCTTAAAAAACAAAACCCAAAACACCTAAATTGAAAGCTGTTGACATGGATGAAAGATTCCAAATCCTCCTCTCAGTGGATGAGCGCTGATCTTAGAGTGACAGAACAGTCACTCTAAGATGAAGTGAGCTGTGGCTCACGAAAGCTCATGCTCAAATAAATTGGTTAGTCTCTAAGGTGCCACAAGTACTCCTTTTCTTTTTGCGAATACAGACTAACACGGCTGTTCCTCTGAGAACAGTCAGGATTTAGTCACAGCTCGGTGCCCTTCTAAAAGGAGGTCATTTAATGCAATAACAGTGGCAGCAAAGTCAACCAGCTCCACAAAGTCTGATGTAATTATGTTAACGCCCATAACGCCTGGCTTCTGTCTCTTTACCCAGTTCAAAATCATAGGCAGGTTCCTAAAGAAAAAAGAGGGATAAATATGTTAACCAATATAACACACTGGTATGGAAGCACCTTGATTTCGCTCTACATGTAACATTTTGTCTATGAATAGCATGTTTGCACAGTATCTTTTAACCCCAAAGTAGCAAACTAAATATATACTGCATCCTTAAAATGCAACCACCGCTGGGGAGAAGGGTGGCAGAAAACAGCACACTGCACAACCATTTTGGGGCAAATGGTGGGGAATAGAAAAAAATCACCCATGCAAACCACTGCTCTTACAAGACATACTATAGGATTCTTAAAAAGAAAAGGAGGACTTGTGGCACCTTAGAGACTAACAAATTTATTAGCGCATAAGATGAAGTGAGCTGTAGCTCACGAAAGCTCATGCTCTAATAAATTTGTTAGTCTCTAAGGTGCCACAAGTCCTCCTTTTCTTTTTACGGATACAGACTGACACGGCTGCTACTCTGAAACCTGTCATTATGTATAGGATTCTTCATGACTTCACTGAACAATTAGGACCTCAGAATTTAAGGTCCTGCAATGGTTTCTTTGTTCTTGTTTTGTCTGAGTATATACCAATCTGGAGGCTTAATTCATAGCAATAGGTTTTGCGTTATTACTTAAATCATAATAATTAGAGATGAATGAAATGATTTGGATTACTAAGAAGTGAAAATATTTCCAGTCATTCCTTGAAAAGAACTTGAACCAAGGGTTTGCAGAAGTTTTTGTTCTCCTCTAACACTACAGCAATGAGGTTTCCACAGGCAAAAGACAGAAGTAACTAATCCTATGAGGGCCATAGTGTGCCTGTTGTTTTACAAGCAGATAGAAAGACAAGCTGTCTGCCCCTTGGCGCTAGCAATCCCGAGAATAAAAATAATAACCCACAAAGGAAGTGATCAGTAAAAAAAAAGAAAGAGATAAAGGCAAAAGAGTAGTTATTCTCATGAAAAGCCAGTCATTTGTAAATCATTGTTGATTAATTTCAAATGTTTCTTCCCCATTAGTTAGAACTTAATGGTTTAATACTCATGTTTAGGGCCAGCATTATCAGAATCAGAAGTCCATACAAAGTTGTACAGCCAAATTGAATGTACAGAACAGGCAGTTCCCATTCAACTGTGTATAAACACTGTGCATGTGGCTGCAAGCAAGCTTTAACTTGTGAAGTATCTGGACTCTGTTTTTAACTGTATATCATTTCAAGCCTTCAGTGTTTAAGCAGAACGTCTCAGTGACTTCCTTAGAAAGTTGTGCTTAAAACCTGATGACACGTTATGGATCTGTTTTTGAATTATTGTTGGAACAGATTTTAATATTTGAATTATTGTTGGAAGGCCTCAGGGAAGTAACTAGTTTTAAGGAGGGATTTGCTCCATATGAAACAGACATTATTAAAGCTCCTGGAAATGATTTGAAAATTAACTTACTGATGTTTGTGAAGTGTTTTGAGGATGAGAAGGGTCATGTGAGTTTTGAGACATTCTTATAATACTGCACATTTAATATATACTATAGAAGAACCACATTGTATCCATGCGAATTAAACACTCTATTAAGTATCTTCAGTTAAGATTAAGAAACAATTTTAAATTTGTAGAGCTTTATTCCTTAAAACACATGCCTCTCTTAAAAAAGCAAGGTGGGTGAGGTGATATCTTTTCTTGGACCAACTTCTGTTGGTGGGAAAGACAAGCTTTCGCGCTTACACAGAGGGCTTGTCTTCACATACCGCGCTGCAGTGGCACAGATGTACGGATGCAGCTGCACGGCTGTAGCATGGAGGTTGTCCACACTGTGCACCTTACAATGGCAACAAAATAAAACCACCTCCGGTCTGCACTGGCACTTTTAGTCGTTAAAACGTTTTATCATTCAGGGCATGTTTTTCCACACCCCTGAGCAACGAAAGTTTTAACGACAAAAGTGCCAGTGTAGACCGGAGGTGGTTTTATTTTGTTGCCTTAGTGAAGACACTACCTATGATGAGGGTGGGGGGTTTTCTCCCATCAGCACACGTACTTCACCTCCCTGAGAGGTGGCAGCTATGTCACCGGGAGAAGCTCTCATGTTGACATCATTCAATTGAACTGGTGGAGACAGCACGATGTCAACGTGAGAGGGGGACAGTTATACCAACTTTAGTCTGTAGTGTAGACTAAGCCAGAGGTCTTCTTCAGGTCTGGGAAACGTACTCAGAATGTCACAGCTAAATAGAAGATGGAACAGATTGTTTAGCACAAGTAGTTGACGCTCAAGGGACCACTCAAGGTGAAGTGGCTTGTTACCCCTCTAGTCATAGGGAGGCAAAGGAGGAAGGAGAAACAGCTGGGGTGGCGGTGTTTGTTGGTGGGTTATAGGTTGTTGTGATATGATTTTTAGTGTCAAGCAAAGTTATGAATTTAAGCTCCCAGGCTCGTCCTTTTTGTGAAAAGTGTTCACCCATAGGTGATGTGATGTTTTTGTCTTTTATCATTTTCCTGTGCGATTTCATTCAAGAGACAACACACCTTTCAAGATCCATGGGTCCTACACATGCCTATCACAATATGTGGTGTACCTCATCCAGTCCATGAAATGCCACAGTAGCAAGTACGTGGGTGAAACCTGACAATCACTATGCTCTCAAATGTTCCACCTTGTATGTACTTGCGACACTCTGAGTAAGTTTCCCAGACCTGAAGAAGAGCTCTGTGTAAGCTCGAAAACTTTTCTCTCTCACCAACAAAGGTTGGTCCAAGAAAAGATATCACTCACCCAACTTGTTTTTTTAAGTGTCATGTGTTTTCAGGAGTAAAGCTATACAAATTTCAAATTGTTTCTTAATCTTAAAGATATTATCTCACCCACCTTGTCTCTCTAATATCCTGGGTCTGACAGTGCTACACATACTCTTAAAGAAAGCATTTTAGCACCATCTAGTGTTTAATGTACAAAAACCAAACTGCAATCTTGGAAAACAGAGGAGGTTCAAAATATTTGGATCAGATTACTTGTATACTAACATTATTTCATTATTTGGCTTTAGACATTATTTCGTCAGACTAAATTCTGTGGAGAGGCAAGAGACTGGAACTCCACGTCCTAACTTCAACCAAAGGAACTTCAGAATTTCTATTATGTGGATGTTTTAGATTCCACATAAAAGAGGAGGGTTTTTAAGAAAAAGCCTTTGAGGAGGGTTTTTAAGAAATAGAATCACAGAATTGTAGGACTGGAAGGGGCCTCAAGAGGTTTTCTAGTCCAGTCCCCTGCACTCAAGGCAGGACTAAGTATTATCTAGACCAGGAGTGGGCAAACTACTTTTTAAGCCAGCCCACAAGCTCCTGCACCCCCAGAGCCCACACCCTCAGACGGAACCTTCACCCCTTCCCGCACCCCTACCCTAGCCCTGATTCCCCTCCCGCCCTCTGAACCCCTCGGTCCTAGCCCACAGCACCCTCCTACACCCCAAACTCCTCTTCCCCAACCCCACCCCAGAGCCTGCACCCCCAACCAGAGCCCTTACCCCATCCTGCACCCCAACCCCAATTTTGTGAACATTCATGGCCCGCCATACAATTTCTATTCCCCAATGTGGCCTTCAGGCCAAAAAGTTTGCCCACCCCTGATCTAGACCATCCCTGACAGGTGTTTGTCTAACCTATTCTAAAATACTTGTAATTATGGAGATTCCACAACCTCCCTGGGCAATTTATTCCAGTGCTTAACCACCCTGACAGCTAGGAAGTTTTTCCTAATGTGCAACCTAAACTTCCCTTGCTGCAATTTAAGCCCATTGCTTCTTGTCCTATCCACAGAGATTAACTAGAATAATTTTTCTCTCTCTCCTCTTTCAAACCACCTTTTATGTACTTGAAAACTGTTAAGTCCCCCCGCAGTCTTCTCTTCCCCAGACTGAACAAAGCCAATTTTTTCAATCTTTCCCAATAGGTCATGTTTTCTAGACCGTTAATCATTTTTGTTGCTCTCCTCTGGACTTTCTCCAATTTGTCCACCTCTTTCCTGAAATGTGGCGTGCAGAACTGGGCACAATACTCCAGTTAAGGCTGTATCAGTGTGGAGTAGAGCAGAGGAATTACTTCCCATGTCTTGCTTACAACACTCCTGCTAATCCATCACAGAATTATGTTTACCTTTTTTTTTCCCCCAACAATGTTACACTGTTGACTATATTTAGTTTGTGATCCATTATGACCCCCAGATCCCTTTCCACAGTACTCCTTCCTAGCAGTCATTTCCCATTTTGTAGGTGCGCAATTGATTGTTCCTTCCCTGGCGGAGTACTTTGCATTTGTCCTTACTGAATTTCACCCTATTTACTTCAGACCATTTCTCCAGTTTGTCCAGAGCATTTTGAATTTTAATCCTATCTTCCAAAGCAGTTGCAATCCCACCCAGTTTGGTATCATCTCCGAACTTCATAAGTGTACTCTCAATGTCATTATCTAAATCAGCGTTTCTCAAACAGGTCCGCGAGGGCACTCCAGGGGCTACATGGGCCCTGCTGATCAATATAGGCTACACAATGTTAATATCACACAGCAGAATCATTTGGGTCTGATCCTGGGAGATGAGGGGCCCGGTACCCACCGTTTAAGTTATTATGAGTTACAAGGGTGCAGCAATTTTCAAGATCAGGCCCTTTATTAGTTATCTTATTTATGGATAAACCATGTAGCCACAATTAAAACTGTATTCATCTCCCTCCTATTATTCATCTCCCTCTTTTTTTTTTGGTCTGGAGAAGCAAGACACATTTAAGGCCAAATCTTGTCCTATGAGCGTGCAAGTGTTATGGAAATCACTGAGGTTGGTATGCATATAACCCAGAGCAGATTTTAGTCCACAGAAAATGAAATCTGATTTTCATGTTAGAGATAAGCTTGTTTTTCCTTCTCACTTTAAATCAAGAAGAGTTGAGGGTACTTATTTTCTCTAGAGACACCACTTCAAATTGCTCTCTGCCCACAAAAGAACATGAATTTGGTCTTGCATTTTGTCAGCCAAATGAATAAAAAGCTTTGCACTTATGCTTGATATATAAATCATGAACCGTTTCCCCAGCATCCTTTGTACTTATGCTAAAATAAATTGTATTAGTAGTGTGTATGAACTCTGTCCTTGGGTATATGTAGGAGCTGTCAGGAATCAGATGCATGTTTTGTTAAGGCCTACCAAGTTGCACCAGGTGCTGGTACTGAGGAATAAGGATGGTTGATATGAGATCTGAAAACTAAGTTCAAAACAAGATAAGAAACTGGTAAGAACTGGGTGTATCCTACTTTTGTCGTAAACAAGGGCATTATATGAGCGAAGTGAGTCCATACTTCCGGAGCAGATTGACTGCTGTGAGACACTGCTTCCCAGATTGGATTGGTAAAGTATTAACCCTTTCCCTGGTGTGTTGTGCTGTATGGTCTTCGACTAATAAAGCTGGCTGAGCCTTATTTGATATCTCACAATCCTCTAAATTTGAACCCTAACAACATGTTCTCTGTGGGTATTTACACGTAAAGGGATGGTTTATGTTTTAGCTTAACTGCAGGGAGTGAGATGCTTGCAGTCATCAAATATAAGTAACAATATATCCTGAAAAATCAGCTATTGGTATGGTGTTAATAATTCAAGCACAGGCCTGGTAGTTACTTGCTTATTCATTGTAACTTCAAGGTAAAAGTTTCAAACAACGAGCTGTGGAACCAAGACAACTCCTTACCTGTGAACAAGCGTATTTTTTAGGCCACGGATTAGGTGCCGTGCAATAGTTTTGACCCTGGGTGTGAGAATAGCTTGAGAAACATGAAAAGTTCCATGTTCAGCCCGCTCCCCAAGAGTGGTCTCTAAGAACTGTAATAGCTTGTGCACGTTCGTTGTGTTTGCCCAAGGTGCTGGCATTTTATTCCCTGGCCACAGGAAGGGATATTCCTGATACAGAGGGTAGTGGTAGAAAATGAGAACCTAAATAATGGAGAGAAAGATAGAAAAGGATGCAAATTAAACTGAATCACGATGTTTTGGAACCAAATTTTGCACTTACGTATACCTATGCAGTCCCTTTGAAATCTGAATACACCTGTGTATAATCTGGTGAGAATATGGTCTCCTGTCTTTAAACTAGTACACTAAATACAATTAATTCACTGGAGTGTTGCCATAAAGGATAAAGTCATTTTGATTAGTTGCAAATTCAGGACTGTGTAGCGTTTCAAGTGTCACTAGAGAAAAAGGAGAATTTCCAGTATGAAACTGAAATCACATTCCAAAATGTTTTACTTAAACAACATTCCTCTAATCTTACTCTTAATATTTGTCAGACAGCATTGCCAGAATTACTTTTATCTCAGGAAAAGGATGGTGGCAAGTTAGGAACTAAAATACTGTGTAACTCAATTCAAATTAACTTGCTGTGATATACTGGGCTGGCTCATATACTGGCGTTCCACTGCCATTTACTGGATGGAACACCAAAGACAAAGACCAATCTCATTGTCTGCTATAACCTGCACTGTGCCTTCTGGAGCTGAGATATGTTTTATTCCTGGTGTCATATGAAGTAGCAGTTTATGAGAGTCCTGTGAATATCTGGGAAAGGTCTTCAGATCCAGAGTTAAAAATTACGTTTGGATTCTGCATTCTAGTTCAGGCCAGAAGGGAGTTTCAAGGCAGATACATGCTGTTTGTTTCTATATCTGGATCTGAACATCCTAGAAGTTTATAAAGAAAATGGATCTAGAGCCATCTCTAGCAAATCTGGATATCGAGTGTTACATCCCAGTCTGTTTGTTTCAAAGTGTCACATGATTTATTGAGAGCTAAAACAGAACACCTTTCATTATCTGATTTGATAAGGGGTTCTTTGCCTTAATCAGGTAGAATCCTGGAAGCAGACTGAAGAGGACTTGCTCAGAGGAATTCCTCAAAGCATGACTGCACACACATGACTTTATAGTTTTGGAATTAAATGGAAGCCCTGGGAGCCTTTTGCTTCAAGACTGCACATTAGAGAGCTGCAATTAACAGACACCATAGTCACCAACTAAAGCTCACTCATGCACTAACATGGATAGAACCCAGACTGGTTGCTCCTAAAACACAGATGAGATAAGAGACTATGCATTAGCTTTCTACAGAATTAAAGTTTTTATTGTTTGTGTGGGCTAGTTACTGGAGGACAATGTGTCCTCACAAACACCAAGCCAACACTTTACAAAAGATCAACTACCATATGCAAGCTTGTATCTTTGTTGCTTATTTGTGAATTCCTGCATAATAGAGCCCTGACCCCTAGATGCCACCATAATATAAAAAATAAAATACAATAAAATAAATAATAATAATAATATGCTTGGAACCCTAGTCAGACACTCTTTATAATTCAAATTGTAACATTTTGGGCTTAGACTCATTACATGTCCTTTCCCCACCTGCTGACTCTTCTCCCAAAGATATTGCAAGGTCACATTTTCTACATATTCCATTGTGCAAAGTTTTGATCCAAATGCTTCCCGGATCCTGTTAATCAGGTATATGTGGTGCTGGTCTTCCATGGCATAGAAGTGATTGAAATCCAAGAAGATGGCTTCTTTGGGGTGCTGTGTGAGGAAGGTGTTTATCTCCATCAGTCCATCCCATACTTTGATGCCAAACAAGCCATGTATGAAGTAGATCTCCTGTCCCACTTCTCCTGGTTTGGAAGATACGCGCAGATCAAAGTAGCGGATCCCACCTTCCAGCTGCTCTTTGAAGGTCAGGTTTTGAGTCACTGACCATTTTTTCATTAGCTTTTTCACCAAAGAAATTTTAGCCAAACGTTTGATTGCCATGGCTTGATCAGGTCCCACAGGAGATTTCTCATCAACCCAGTAGCTGAAAGAATCATGTGATCCTAGAGATAAAAAAAAAAATTAGTCATTTTAACGTTATAGCATTGAAAATAATATTTCATGTGTCCTATATGGAAAAAAGGTCTGGACAGGGATTCAGGAGATTTGGGGTCATCTCTTGGCTCTGACACAGGACTTCTTGTGTTACCTTGGGCAAGCCACTTCATGTTTAAGTCTCAGTTTCCCCCATCCGTAAAATGGGAAGACCACTTCTTTTGTCTTATCTATTCATGTCTGGGAGTTTATGGTTACAACTGTCTCTTAAGATGTGTTTGTACAGTTCCTAGCATAATGCAGTTTAGATGCTAATAGAATGTAAATAATAAATAGCCATAGTAAGGAGACTCCTCTGTCCCATTATCCTCTCCTGTGTTCACACTCCTCTGCCCATCAAAGGAACAAGCAAGCTACCTTCACAATGCTTCCACTGTGCTGGCACAGGGGTTTGAATCTGGTCTTGTGCTTGTTGAAGACAGCACTGAGCACTAGAATGAACTGAGATTCTCTTTTTATTCTCTATTTATTCCTTGCCTTACTATCATAACTCTCTACAGTTACTTAAAATTACACTTGACTGTGGGGAAACAAGCTAAGACACCAGAGCTCTTGGTTAACCTATGGGACAGAGACCTCAGACGGTGGCTGGGTGAAAATCCTTGCAATACACTGCCAATGAGTCTTCGCTCTGACCATGATGAGTCGTTTCCAGGCATCAGATGACTGAACTGTCTCCATGCTCAGCTAGTCCTTGGCCTTTCTGCTAACACTGACAGGGACCAGGTCGTGTCAGTTGTAATGATATTGTTTTGTGTGTGTGGATACCTCTATTCCAGGAACAGGACTGAGAGTAAGTTCATTTCAAACAGGCCACTACACAGGCTTTCTACTAGCAATGACTTTGGGTCACTACTGACCTTGTAATGCAGGAAGGTGACTAAGAAATGAAAGAGTCCCTCTCTCATCATCAATCACCTGACCACCTGAGCCATCATCCTGCTGCCCCGCCCAGTATCTGCCCGAGAGATGGTAATATGCCTGTGACACAGGATGTCAGCCTTATGGACACATGACGGAACCTGGCAGGGAAGTCATGCACAAAATAATGCTCATGAATAAAGCTCCACCCGTCTAATAAAAAGGTACCAAAAAAGAACGTAGTAAGGAAGAATCAAGAAAAGCCCATTATGGATTATGTCTCCCTAGTTACTGCTTGCAGGACATACAAGAGAAGAGTAGCTGGGAGCCCCTGAAGAAGTCCTGACTTGATGGCAGTGTGAAGCACCCAAGGGCAGGAAGGATGATCTTAACTGGAGCAGTAACTTTGAGGGGAGGTGGGGCCAAGAATGTAGTCCTTAGAGGAGACCCTGGAGTCCCCAGTCAGAGGCAACATTAAGCAGAACTGGGGATAGAAGTCTGTCTGCTAAGACTCCAGGTTTAGCTAGATTTCCAACATCCATCCCAGGGAGCTCTATCCTGGCCAACATGCTAGAGATTTGCAGACACAATCTTTCCTCTGTAGTCCCATCCCGGAAAACAACTAAGGGGCTCTAGCCTCTCCTCTCCCTGGCTCCTTCTACTTTCCCAATTAACAGCTTGCAGCTTCTCTGCTGGGCTTCACCCACTAGCCATTTTCCTGGAGGAGACAGAAATTCCTACTCTTAGGGCAGGAATTGAAGGAGCAAGCTACATCCAAATAGCCCTGCTCCGACTGCCAGTCTGAATCTCAGGAGATGCTGCCCTACAATGCTAGCTCCGTCAGCTCCTGCTGTCCATTTTGCTGAAATATAGGGAGCATACGCTGACTCCACCAGACTACATAATATTCTAGCATATTACAGCCAACATCCCCTTACCTCCCATCTCTCCCCTCCCTGAAAATCCAGCAATTCCCCTGCCATCTCCCTGAATACTCCTACACAATCTCCTTGTCTGATTCTTTTTTTCCTTCCTCTCTACCTGTACTCTGTAAAAATCGAATTAAGGTTCGAAATTTGTTTTTACAAAGACCCCTCATGTGCCCTATTTATTAGATAAGCATCCCTTGTGTGTGTGCGTGTACTTACTTGAAGACTAATAGGTTTCCTGTCATGCTGCAGCATCAGAGCTGTAAATGAGATTATGATCTCAACAGGATTACTTTGTTAGGGTTATTAAATCCATGTGGAAGCACATACTGTTCACAAGTCAAACATCAGTTTGCAAGATTCCAATGCATGCCAACAGTAATAAGCGTGAGAGGTTCCCCTGCATTATGTAACTCCACACACAGGTGTGTGTGCAAGAGGGGGAGGAATCTCTCCTCCCCCATCAGCGTGGTGGAATAAGGGAGAAGAGAGGCACGTCATAATTTTGCAGTTTCAAGAAAACAAAGCTATTTTGCTTTGCATCCCCTGAAGAGTGAAATGTTGTTCCCCACAAGTCTGATCATATATTTTATAGTTACAACACCCTTATCCCATTGCAGATTGCAGTACTTAACAGGATAAATGCAACTAGTGCAAGACAAAGGAGTGTTTCTCATAACTGGAGATAAGTAATGGCATCAGAATTATGTGTTTTTCAGTCTACCTCCATGCATGATGGAGGTGTAAACATGGAGTTGCCTCATGTTTCATAAAGCACAGGAGCATCTAATCCAATCCAATCCAATCCAGTGCAAGCACTCATATACACCTACAAAAACATTACTAAACAAGGAAATTCTGTTGAAGGCTGGCAAGTATGTTCACAATTAAAAAAAATCAGTATAGGAAATATTGAAAACTTTTTTATGATTTTTCCATACATGCTTCAGAGACTGGATTCTCCCAACAGCTAAGATGGTGAACTGGAGAAGATTTCCCTATAGTAAGAGAAGTTCTTTCATGTCGCTACGTTAAAAGTTCCTATGTCTATGACTTAATGAATGCTAGTAAATGCTTTGAGACTGGATAAAAGACCCTCAAGTATGAATTATTTTATACATAAAAAAATTAAATAGGATAATAATACCTAACCTCAACCTATAGATCTCAAAGTGCTGTACTAAGGAGCTAAGTATTATTATGATCCCCATTTTACAGATGGGAAAAATGAGGCACAAAAAGGACAAGAGACTTGCCCAAAGTCTTTCTGCAGACCAGAAGCATAGTAGAGAACAGAACCCAGGCCTCCTGAAACTCAAATCACTACCCCCTCCCCTGTACTGTACTGGAAAAATACTCTCCTTGTGAGGCATTTTGTGACACCAGATGTTGTTAGTTAGTATTCCGATTACAACAATATTATAACTGCTTTGGTGCTGCAGCTTTAATGAGAGCCTCATTGCCAAATACCCCTAGATGTCAAGACTTAATTTGGAATCATAGGAATGCATAGGTTATGAAATACAATACTGGAACAAACCATTTAATCATCTTTCTAGTCCAGATTCCCGTCTCTCCACAATCAAAGGTTAGATACGTCAGGGAAAACTATACACCCTCCCCTGTCTGCCTGGGCATTCAAATTCCTTCCTGACACCAGATTGTTACTCTGATAGATAGATAGCTCTTGTAATTTTATCCTAGCAAGTGCAACTGTAGAGTCATGAACCCTTTTTCACTTCGACTATGCCAATTCCCAAGTTAAGTGTGTGTTAAATCTATTGCCTTTATTATCTTTCATTATTCAAGAATGTTTTTGTTCTATTTTCTTTGTTTCAGTTGTTAAGAAGCAGCTTTTTCGCTTCACATCTGGAACTTTTTTCCTTACATTTTTCATGTTCCTTAAAATCGTGGGGTCAAATTACTTAGTCAAATCAAGCGAATGCAGTAACGTTACAAAAATTTGGCATTTTGTCTTGGACTTAATTTTTATTTTCACTGTTTTGTGTGGGTTACCAAGAACTGGACTTTAATTATTCATTTTTCTTGTTACTGCATAAGAGTGATAAGAAGAGAATATTGTAGAACGGTTAGAACGTGGTCTCTGGAAGCAAGAATTCTGGGTCCTATTCTATTAATGACTTCCTGCGTGACCTCAAGCATGTCATTTAACTAATCTGTACTTTACCCTAACAGGGATGTTGTGAAGATTACTGTGTGTGCAAAAGCCTTTGAAATCTTCCAATGTAAAAGTACAAAATATATTGTCTACAAACTGAAAGAGATATAAAATACCCTTCCCTAGACAAAAGCATATCTAACGTCATCCCTACTAATCTAGTTTTCCCGGCAGTGAGATATGTTAGGCTGTGGACTAGTCTAAATAAGTGATGGAAACCCCTTTTCTCAGGACTTTTAGAACTAGGCTGGACTTAAACACCAGACAATACTGAAGGGGAACAGTGCTGCATTTTCAGGTGAATGGACTGGATCAGCAGAATGGAAAGGTATGATTACTGAAAATTAAAGAACTTTATGTGTAACATTTCAATGTGTAGCTGGCTGGGTCCACAAATGGGTCCACCGGCATATTAACAGCATTAAAATGTCAATTGTGGACTCTGGCGTTACACTCCAGGATTACCTTAGCTGCAATGACGCCAAACTTCTTAGAGCAAGATTTTTCTCTCCACCTAAACTACATTTGCCATTTATAATCAAGAAAATATAGATTCAGCACAAAACACAATAAAAAACAAAAGCATCTGGAAATACACCAATCAGGCTTAAAAAGTAACAGGTCTGGGAGCATCATGGAAAAGCTATTCTAGAAGCAGCCAAGGAAAGAACAATATTCCGCTATTTTGCAAGGGCCAGCTCTGCTTTGTGCCGGCCATCAGGTATATTGAATGAGACAGAAGCACCCCTGACAAACCCCAAAGGCTTCTGGATACAGGTCATTAACAATCCAGATTTTCTAATCAAAAGATTAGCATCTTAAAACATCTTTACTAATCCACACTGAATAGCACATTTGACTTGCTTATTACCTCCCTCCCCTTCTCTTGCCTGGTAACAACTGCCATCGCCATGATATGATCCATATGAACTATCTAGATAAGCATGTCTGTTTTTGAATAGTATTCTAACAAATTCCT